CAGATATAATTGAAAATTTCAATTAAAAAATAATAATATTGTATAGTGATCATTTGTTTATTTTCATTCAAATTTAACTTGGAAAATATTTTAACATATTTGCAATAAATAATTTTAGTAACTGATTTTAATAATTAATCATTTCTACCATTAGTGGATGCATTCATTTTCCTTCTACATTAGCTTCACTATTGATAAATAAAAGGTATTAATATATATGGAACTTTCAATTTTATTGGCATTGAGTGAAATGACTCTTAATTGGATTCTATAAAATTTTATTGCAAATTATTTTCAATCACTTCCTGGCATCATATTCATCATCATAGTTAGCTGAGCTTGACCGTAACCTGGTTGTCGAATATTTTGACCTGTCTGAGATCCATATCGATTTTCTTGTAAACTCCCAGCTTGTGCATAATCTCCGCTTGGTCCTCTATTTCTGGGCCTACCTCCAGTATATGCTTTAGTATAAGAACCAGGTCTTCTTTGACCGGGAGAACCACTTCCTTGACTTCCAGAACCACTTGGACTACCTCCAAACCCACCAGTACCATCTGATGGGCCACTCGGCCCATGTGGTCCACTAGGATATCCTCTTCCTAATGGATATTAAATTATTTATAAAACTTAATTATATATACATAAACAAAATTATTATAAAACGTCATTAGAAACGACTTCATGAACATAAGTTATTTACCTGGCTGGCTTGGACCTCCAGGATATCTTCCTCCAGGGCCACCAATTCCACCTGACGGACCATCAGGTCCTGCGGGCCCACTTGGCCCATGTGATCCACTAGGATATCCTCCTCCTAGTGAATATTAAATTATTTATAAAAGTGAATTATTATATTTAATTATTATTTATAATTATAATCTAAATATATAAAATTTCTTGTCCTGAGTGACTGATCCACTGACTGATTAAATGATTGATTCGTCATTGCACAGAGCAAACCGTTGAACCTAAAAAGGTGAAATTTAATACACAGTTAAAGTACGTCATAAAAACGCACACTAAGAAGGATTTGTGTAAATTTCCCCCAGGGGAAAGAGGGATAGGATTAAAGCATAACCTGAAGAACGGCTTCTAATGTACTATTTTAGATGCGATTTTTTGTTTTCAACTACGTTTACTCTTCATTGAGCAGTGGCGTGCTGTTACATTTGATGAGAGGGAAGCTGTGTTTCTATAAGAAGCAAACCTCCAGGGGCAATCAGTTAATTTTCTTTCTTTAAACGTATTTTTAATAGATTATTTATCTGACGTACTTAATAAATAAACAAGTTCAATATACCACCAGATGCGTAATTTCTCAGTCTTAATGGCGTGCTTGTAAAGTCGTTGGCTTGCTAGATATGCAGTTCTATGCATGTTACGCATGCGATTGTCCCTGCATCTTTGGTAGGTTCTTCTTAAATGTCGAGTGGTTCGACGGAGATTTTCAAGCTCATTAGTCCACTATTGTATACATCTTTTGTGTGGTGTCTTTTTAGGAATAAATCACGTACATTATTGTTGCAATATTAGTGTCTATTTGTTGTCTAGCATCGATAGGACTCTCAGAATAATAGGATATCAAATAGTAGGCATGCCAACAAAACAATTTTTGCATTTTTATGAATTTACCTCTGTTATTAGATCCAATATAATCCATATGCTCTCTAAATGCCAATTCTTGCTTTGATAAAAACATATAACATCTATTTATTTAGATATAATATATCTATTAACAGTAACTATCTCGTTATAATTTTCAATATTTATTTTATATTATTTACTAATGTTAAATTCTATTCCGCTTCGATTTCCAAATTGCTTCAAATACGAAAGAATCGACGATTTTTCGTGTCTTTTGCCAGCTAAATTGTCAAAGCCATTCTTATTCCACACACTAATTTCATTTGAAAATAGTAGGCAAGCCAACAAAACAATTTTTGCATTTTTATGCATTTACAGAGCCATTTTATCGTGAAAATGTCGAACAAATTTTTTTATTGAAGCGTTTATATTTAACTTAGGCATTGGCCTTTCTCTTTTAATAATGTTTTCTTTTTCATTATATGATCTCGAGCCAAAACTTTTTTAAAATAAATTTTCAATATCGCAATTACATTCCGAATCGCTAGCCACGATATAAGGGCTAAAATTAAAAATAAAATTATAAAAACTTACTTGGTGAAATAAAATGTGTGGTGGATATACATACCTGGTACAAAATATTCTTCAATTGTATGAATATACTTTTAAAGAAAATTATAATTAAATATAACTTTGTAATGAAACGTACATGAAAATAACATAAAATATTCTTTACTCTTTAAATCTTAACCACTTAGTCAAATAGCTCCCTACGAGTGGAATCAGAGACGGTCCTGCTAGGTGTGCGGTGTGTACTGTACATGCACGCGGGCTGCCAAATCCCGAGGGTGCCGATACCCTCGGGATTTGGCAATGTCAAATGTTTCTTTTGTCGCATCACTAATATACCTCAAAAGACGCGACAGGGTTCTTGTAAATTTTAAACGTTTCTCACCATAGCTGTAAAAGTCTAAATATGTTAAACTTAATAGATTGTCCGTCGTTTGTTTTCTAACTAATTCGTTTTAGGACCAGGTGTTGTCCACGGAAATTTCCAAAATTTACAACTTTTCGGTCACTCTCGTCGAACTGGAAAAATTTCTGTCTTTATTACATCTAATACAGTATTTCGAAGAAATCAGTCCCCACTGTACTCGGCTATAGATTGGTTCGGTTAAGCTTTTGTTTAAGTAATATTCCGGCTCTTTCATCAGGGTTTTGTTTATGTCCCCAATTCCCTAATCGCTTAATTATTTAACTACTTCTTAAGTAGAAATAAGTCGAAACCAGTTACTTTGTACTCGAATATTTGTAGTCTCGGGAAAAAGTGGAAAGACAAATTTTTATGACAAACGGATACATAAATCGTAAATTTAAGGAAAATAAATTCTAGAGCTTTTTCTGTACCTCGTGCATCTCTCTCATTCACTAAATTTAGTTGTAAATTATGCTACCAAAGTAACAGTTAATTTTTTAACATTATACAAGAATTGTACACGTTTTTTTTCTACATCCCCTAAAAGATGGGACATACGAAATCGTAATATCACTGGTTTAACATTTAAATCCGTGAGTAATATAAAATCGGAGAGCGGAATAAAATATCAAATATTTTAACGGATTTTTTAAAACTCCCGTCAACTATACAAAAACCTATCATAAAAACATACAGGTAAATTCTTATCGGTTGAATTAAGTTATAAATCTACTCGTGATTCGCATAATCGGGCGAGGGTGGCCAAATATCTAGCAGGCGGGCGGCTAACAGCTCGGAACCGGTCCTGGATAGAATTGGATGCGTGTAGCATCCACCCGAGGTCTTAGGCTTCCACCAGTTAAACCGGGTGAGGTTGATGCTAATGTAAAGCGCATGCGCAAATCTGGCTTTTTCAAGCTGACAATACAGCGCTTCCACTCCACCACTCATATTCGAATATACAGTAGCAATCTTATCTTTTTTTTTTTCACGTGTAGTATAGAAATTTGTAATAAGATACATAATGCGGTTATAATAAAATATTGTGCGATTATTTTCATATAATTAAAATTAATATGTAATTATTTTTTAGAAAATACAAGGGAACCGGCGCATTCACCACTTCTAATGACGGCACGCCACTGTCATTTATTGCTTAGCTGTATTAAATTAATAACATTTCAGACACTGTTATAAATATTTTTGTATATTTCGATTTTTTAACCAAATGTTCGAACCGTTTTAAATTCGAATTTGTTATTGCATATTCGTTCGATTATAGGATGATTGTAAACGTTTCAGAAAATTGATCAAATTAAAAACAGTTCGTTTGATTCTCAGCAATTCTCATCATTCTCAGCCGTAGATGTTATATATAAAATAATTACTATGGTTTGAAATACTGAATATAAATGCTTTTTGACTGCAAAATCCTCGCAGGCAAAGTCGCGGGTTACAGCTAGTTATATATATCAGCAAAATTATTCTAAAACTTCAAAAGAAAAGTCTTCATGAACATAAATTATTTACCTGGCTGGATTGGACCTCCAGGATATCTTCCTCCTGGGCCACCAATTCCACCCGATGGACCATCTCGTCCTGTAGGCCCGCTTGGCCCTTGTGGTCCACNGAACTGGAAAAATGTCTGTCTTTATTACATCTAATATTTCGAATAAATCAGTCCCACTGTACTCGGCTAGAGATGGGTTCGGTTAGGCTTTTAAGTATAATTTCGGCTCTTTCATCAGGGTTTTGTTTATGTCCCCAATTCCCTAATCGCTTAATTATTTAACTAAAGCAGAAATAAGTCGAAACCAGTTACTTTGTACTCGAATATTTGTAGTCTCGGGAAAAAAGTGGAAAGACAAATTTTTATGACAAACGGATACATAGATTGTAAATTTAAGAAAAATAAATTCTAGAGCTTTTTCTGTACCTCGTGCATCTCTCTCATTCACTAAATTTAGTTGTAAATTATGCTACCAAAGTAACAGTTAATTTTTTAACATTATACAAGAATTGTACACGTTTTTTTTCTACATCCCCTAAAAGATGGGACATACGAAATCGTAATATCACTGGTTTAACATTTAAATCCGTGAGTAATATAAAATCGGAGAGCGGAATAAAAATATCAAATATTTTAACGGATTTTTTAAAACTCCCGTCAACTATACAAAAACCTATCATAAAAACATACAGGTAAATTCTTATCGGTTGAATTAAGTTATAAATCTACTCGTGATTCGCGTAATCGGGCGAGGGTGGCCAAATATCTAGCAGGCGGGCGGCTAACAGCTCGGAACCGGTCCTGGATAGAATTGGATGCGTGTAGCATCCACCCGAGGTCTTAGGCTTCCACCAGTTAAACCGGGTGAGGTTGATGCTAATGTAAAGCGCATGCGCAAATCTGGCTTTTTGGAAGCTGACAATACAGCGCTTCCACTCTGCCACTCATATTCGAATATACAGTAGCAATCTTATCTTTTTTTTTTTTTTCACGTGTAGTATAGAAATTTGTAATAAGATACATGATGCAGTTANGAGTTGTTAACCGATTGTTTTGACATTTTGACACAACTTTGCATTCGAATAGACGATTGTTTTTTTTATTATATAGATGTCGAAGTTCTCGCCCGCTGGAGAAAGGGACAAAATTAAGGCTTACCGTGATGAATCCGGCTTCTATTATTCTATTTTAGAGGCGGTGTTTCGTGTTTTTGATTGCGTTTTAATAGGGTACGCCAAAAGAACGTACACTAAGAAGGATTTTTTCGAAATCACCCCCACAGTGAATAGGGACTGGATTAAGGCTTACTGTGAAGAACTCGTGTTTTATTATACTATTTTATAGGTGAATTTTTGCGTTTTTGACTGCATTTTAATAGGGTACATCAAGAGAATGTACACTAAGAACGGATCTTTCGAAATTTTCTCTCACGGTGAGTGTTATACGTGTATAATAGGTGCATTTTGAGCGACAGCAACGCGTGGTTGGGTATCTCTAGTAATTATATATATGAACAAAATTATTTACCTGGTTTGCTCGGATATCTTCCGCCCGGTCCACCACCACCCGACGGTCCATCTGGACCTGTAGGCCCACCTGGCCCATGAGGCCCACTAGGATATCCTCCTCCTAATGAATATTAAATTATTTATAAAACTGAATTATTATACATAATTATTATTGACAAAACTATGTCTTGTTTATAAAATCGTACTGCGGTATATGTTACCAGCTTAGAGGTATGAAGGAGTACATGTCGAGAGTTGCTATTTGACACAGAGTATCATTTGCGCGTAAAAAATCCCGACTTGTAGGTAGTCAGGGGACTGAGAACCGAGTCAAAATAAAATACAAAATGGCGACACTCTTCTACAAACAGGCAAAATAAGCATTTCACCCACCGAAGTCAGGTGGGGAGAGTACCACCCACAGTCATTCTAAGATGTGAACTCTGACCTTACGACTGAACACGTCGTTTCTTCTATGTTAAATAAAATTTGTAATCTAATTTTGTAAATTTGAAAGTGCTTCAAATATGACATTAAAACAGGGTGTCGTTACAAGTAGGTATTTTAGCATTATCTAGTGTAGTAAAATCGTGGAACCGATAAAAATTTGACGTTATATTAGGGTTGTCGTTACATCCGATGACGTCATAATCGGGTTAAACTGTATATTGTTTGTCGAAAATAAAAAAATAATTTCTGGCGATACAATAGCCGCGATAATGTTTTGAAAAACGGCAAAATTTCGTTACGCTTCGACAAAAATTGAACCCGGGCTGACACGCAACGGAGAGAAATTTCGAAATTGGATAGATTAATTTCATCGAAAATGTATCATGGACGACTTCGTGGTCGTAACCGGCGAAGTTTGAACGATCGCGTTCAAAAGCAGCGATAACAAAGAAGATTGGAGAATGAGAACGAGACCCATTTTGAGCGTCAAAGTGATTCCACTTAGTACTGAGTCTCCCAGACATAGTCATGTTTCAAATACAGTTTTGCCGTTTTATTTGTTATAATCTAAATATATAAAATTACTTTTCCTGACTGACTGACTGACTGATTGATTCATTATTGCCCAGAGCAAACCGTTAAATTTAAACAGGTGAAATTTTGTACACATACCCCATTCGCACACAATCCACGATTCACTTCGATCTCGATTTATCTATTGATACAATCTCGATTGTGACTGTTGCCAGTCGATCGTTCAGCTGTTCATACAGGCAGTCCGCTTCAGAAGAACCCAACACGTGTTCCGCAGCCATCTTGTAATTTGTGGCGCGCGTGAGATTGTGGGATCTCTCTCATGACTGGATTTAGTTTCAAGAACTCTGTTGAGTCGATCGCGATTGAACCTCGTTCCAGTCGAAATTGAAACGGTCGGGAGAGGTCGCACGACGTCATAGTCGTCGACCTTAGTCACAAGCTAGATCGAAATGCTCCGTTCAGAGAAGAATTAGGGTACGTCATGGAAACGCACACTAAGAAGGGATTTTCCGAAATTCCCCCGCGGGAATAGAGGAAGAAAATTAAGGCTTAACCTGAAGAACGGCTTCTACTGTACTATTTTAGATGCGATTTTTTGTTTTCAACTACGTTTAGTCTTCATTGAATACTTAGGTGTATTTAACTGATAACATTTCAGACATTGTTATAAATATTTTTATATATAGTGGTACCTCGGTATACGTCTGCTTTAGAATACGTCCAATTCGGAATATGTCTTGTTTGGACAAAACAAATTTTGCTCGGTATACGACTTATTTTAATTCAATTATACGCGCCATTTATGAACAAGTAGCACTATCGGTGTAGTAGGCCAGACTAAACGTTCGCGCTGCCACGGTTTATAACTTCGTTAAATTTTTTCTGATTTTAATTTGTAAGCAAAATTTAATTAGTTTTATTAATGATGAATTGCAAAAAGGCAAATGAAAAGCAACAGAAAACTAAAAAATTGACTAGAATCACAATGGAACTGAAAAAAGAGATTGTTGAGAAATATGAAAGCGGTATGCGTGTTCGAGATTTAACTGCTGCATACCGTATTCCGAGAAAGACGATATCGACAATCGTGAAAAATAAAGACATTATTAAATCTGCTAACGTTGCGAAAGGAGTTAAATCAATTTCTAAACAGAGATCAAGAATATTAGATCATGTGAGAAATTGCTTTTGCTTTGGATAACTGAAAAACAGTGTGCTGGCGACAGCGTATCAGAACTGACATTAAAAATCACTTGAAATGTGCGAAACATAAGGCAAACCTAGTAGCAACAGAAGCAATTATTTGCGAGAAACTTAAAAAGATACATGCTGATCTCATGAAGAATCAACCAGGAACTAGCCAGGGTAGCGAGGTGTTTATAGCCAGCCATTTTTTTTACATGAGAACGGATTAATCGTTTTTACATTACTTCTTATGGGAAAGGTTGGGTTGGTATACGTCCTATTCGGTATAAGTTCAAACATCAGGAACGGATTAAGGTCGTATATCGAGGTTCCACTGTATTTCGATTTTTTAACCAAATGTTCGAACCGTTTTAAATTAGAATTTTTATTGTATATTGGTTCGATTATAGGAGGATTGTAAACGTTTCCAGAAAATTGATCAAATTAAAAACATTTTTATCTTGCTTCTTTACAGACACACTAAGGTGACATTATTCAACACTTGGCAGATTATTCACCACTTTATTCAGTTGGGACGCTATTTACAAGTCGCGTTTCGGGCATTAGCCCCTCTTCAGCCAACTAAACATTAAAATAAAACATGAGAAAATTATACATAAATACGCGAGTAAAACATCCCGTAGATAAAACATTTTAAATCCCCTTAAAAACATACCTCAAAAGCACATATCACGAGCGTACAGATGGCGTACAGGATGGACAGTTGCATATTCTATATATCAAGTGGACAATAAACAGATTCGAAGATAACTGCTTGACGACAGGGCTTTCGAATATGACGTTCTTTTAGTTTATACAAATAATTCAGATAAATAAATTGAAATTTATAACATATTTTAACAATATTTGTTTTACCTCTAATCTATATTCGCATATTACACCAAAATTCACACAATAACTGTTGTCACCTTTTTTTATGACGAGTTTCACACAAAGTCATTCCATCGACACTATTTGGTCTGCTAATTTACATATATAACAGTGAATATATTTAAAGCTATTATATTAAATTTTACAAACCAATTATTAATATTTGTTTTATTTATAGTTTGTATACAGACATCAAATTCACACGTTATCAGTTGTAGCTTTTCGTAAAACGAGTCTAGCATACAGTTTTCACAACGACACTATTTGCTATACTAATTTACATATATAAGTGAGCTGATTTTTGAAACAAAAATTCTAAAAATTAACTTAACTTTTGATTCAAAAATTCTAAAAATTAACTTAAGTAAAAATGAAGATAAAGGATAAAAATTATTATAAATATAAAAACGATATATAAAAACTGTATACATTTCTAAATGAGAATAAGATAAATATTATAAGAGCAGATAAATCTAAACAAGTTATTGTTGTGACTCAAGATTGGATAAAGTTAAAAAACTAGAAATAGTAAAAGGGAATAAATTTAGAGAACTACCGATTAACCCCAAAGATATAATATATGAAGAATTAAAAAATAGAATTACAAAATTACAAAAACTTAAAAAAATTACCAAAAATGAAAAAGATTTTATCCTGTATGAGGATAATAACAGAACGCCAAGACTAAATATACAACTTAAGACCCATAAGAAAGATGAAAAAGTAAGACCAATAGTAGACTTTAAATTTGCTGTATTATATAATTTGGAAAAATTCTTGAAACAAAAGCTCAAAGATTACGAAAATTCGAAATATTCTATCAAAAACACAGATGACGATGTCATAATCACAAAGAAAGAAAATAAGCTAGAATTTGAGCCTTATAAGAAACCGTGTTCAATTGAAACTACAATAAGATACGACTCTAATATACCTATGTATATAAAAAAGAATGTTTTTCACATGAAGTATACAAAAATACAAAATAGAACCAGTAACGAAATTATTAAAAATAAACATATAAATAATCTGAAGAAAAAATTCAATATAAACGGATATCCAATCAGATTAATTAATAAATGGCAAAAAATAATAGACAACGATACCAAAACAAAAAATAAAAAAAACCAGAATAATTGATGGGAAAACAAAACCAAAATATGTAGGTTTTCCATACATAAAAAATATGTATGAGCAAATAGATACCGAAATGAAGAAAAATAATATGAAACTTGCTCCAAAATATGAATATCTATTCTCCAGATTGAAGGCTAAACAAAGTATGAAAAAACAAAAAATAAATAAAGAAGAAACGAAAAATATCGTATATAAAATACCATGTACATGTAAAAACAACAGTTTTTATATAGGCGAAACAAAACGTAAACTAAAAATAAGTGTTAAAGAACATGTGTCAGATTTGAAGTATCACCGATTAAACTCACTATTCCATGATCATTGTGTACTAAACGAATGCAATACAGATAAAACTAACATACAGATTCTACATAAAGAGAAGAAAACATATAACAGAAAATTTAAAGATAGTGTTGAGATTATTAAAAATAAAAATAACAATTGTATAAATAAAAACTTAAGCATTAAAATTAGTGAGAACTGGATAAAAATATTGTAATTAAGTTGATGACTATTGGTTATAATTATGACGATGATCACCAAAGTTCAAAGTTCATGTATAAGTAATAAAATAAGTTAAGATTAATATAATAATTTCTGTTTATACACGACTTTCCATTGTATACTGAAATTGTTTCAAAAATCAGCTCACTTATATATGTAAATTACTAGACCAAATAGTGTCGTTGTGAAAACTGTATGCTAGACTCGTTTTACGAAAAGCTACAACTGATAACGTGTGAATTTGATGTCTGTATATAAACTATAGGTAAAACAAATATTAATAATTGGTTTGTACAATTTAATGTAATAGCTTTAAATATATTCACTGTTATATATGTAAATTAGCAGACCAAATAGTGTCGCTGGGATGACTTTGTGTGAAACTCGTCATAAAAAAGGTGACAACAGTTATTGTGTGAATTTTGGTGTAATATGCGAATATAGATTAGAGGTAAAACAAATATTGTTAAAATATGTTATAAATTTCAATTTATTTATCTGAATTATTTGTATAAACTAAAAGAACGTCATATTCGAAAGCCCTGTCGTCAAGCAGTTATCTTCGAATCTGTTTATTGTCCACTTGATATATAGAATATGCAACTGTCCATCCTGTACGACATCTGTACGCTCGTGATATGTTCTTTTGAGGTATGTTTTTAAGGGGATTTAAAATGTTTTATCTACGGGATGTTTTACTCGCGTATTTATGTATAATTTTCTCATGTTTTATTTTAATGTTTAGTTGGCTGAAGAGGGGCTAATGCCCGAAACGCGACTTGTAAATAGCGTCCCAACTGAATAAAGTGTTGAATAATGTCACCTTAGTGTGTCTGTAAAGAAGCAAGATAAAATCAACAACACGGTTTCATCAGAATAAAAAATAAAATTAAAAACAGTTCGTTTGATTCTCAGCAATTCTCATCATTCTCAGCAATTCTCATCATTCTCAGCCGTAGGTGTTATATATATAATAATTACTATGGTTTGAAATACTGAATATAAATGGGGTTTGATTGCAAAATCGGCGCGGGCGAAGTCGCGGGTAACAGTTATTTATATATATAAGCAAAATTATTGTAAAACCTCATTGGAAAAATCTTCATGAACATAAGTTATTTACCTGGCTTGCTCGGATATCTTCCGCCCGGTCCACCACCACCCGACGGTCCATCTGGACCTGTAGGTCCACCTGGCCCATGTGGCCCACTAGGATATCTTCCTCCTAATGAATATTAAATGATTTATTAAACTTAATTACTATTTATAATTATTCATATAAATAAAAATGTAAATGTTCGTTTGTTTAAAATCTTAAATCTCCGAAAATTGTTAACCGATTGTTTTGACATTTTGACACAACTTTGCATTCGAATAGGCGCGTGTTTTTTATTATATAGATGTCGAAATTCCCGCCCGCTGGAGAAAGGGACAAAATTAAGACTTACCGTGAAGGACCTGGCTTTTATAATAATATTTTAGATACAGTACGGTGTTTCGTGTTTTTGATTGCGTTTTAATAGGGTACGCCAAAAGAATGTACACCAAGAAGGATTTTTTCGAAATCCCCCACAGTGAATAGGGACTGGATTAAGGCTTACTGTGAAGAATTTCTCTTTTATTATACTATTTTATAGATGGTTTTTTGCGTTTTTGACTGCATTTTGATAGGGTACATCAAGAGAATGTACACTAAGAACAGATATTTCGAAATCTTTTCCCTCCCGCTGGGAGAGGGACCGGAATAAGACTTACCGTGAAGAACTCGACTTCTATCGTAACATTTTAGATGCTGTCATTTGCGTTTTTGATTGCGTTTTAATATGGTGCATCAAGAGAATGTACACTAAGAAGTGATTTTCGAAATTTTCTCTCACTGGGAGTGTTATACATTTATAATAGGTACATTTTGAGCGACAGCAACGCGTGGTTGGGTACAGCTAGTAATTATATATATAAACAAAATTATTTACCTGGTTTGCTCGGATATTTTCCGCCCGGTCCACCACCACCCGACGGTCCATCTGGACCTGTGGGCCCACCTGGTCCATGTGGCCCACTAGGATATCTTCCTCCTAATGAATATTAAATTATTTATTAAACTGAATTACTATTTATAATTATAATTATATATACATAAAGAAAGTTATTATAAAACTTCATTTGAAAAGTTTTCATGAACATAAGTTATTTACCTGTCTGGCTTGGACCTCCAGGGCCACCAATTCCACCCGATGGACCATCTCGTCCTGTAGGCCCACCTGGCCCACTAGGATATCTTCCTCCTAATGAATATTAAATTATTTATTAAACTTAATTATTATATTTAGTTATTATTTATAACTATAATTACTGTTGAGTCCGCATAAGTCGACACGTTAGGGGGAAGTGGAAATGTGTGGAGTTATTTGATAGTTGAAAAATCCACAAAAGTAAAATTCGGAAAATACAGAGTCAGTTTTACACAGTCTTTGACAATCCATCAGTGGTTCTAAAGTTTGTTTTTACTTCAAGTACTTCGGCGATTTTTATCGCTTTTATTTTTCAGTATCGGCTTCGAAACAGGATGATTTGATGAACGAATTTGCTTTAGCCTATGTAATAGAGCATCTACATCTTTGTAAGACCACATTCTTTCGCGTTATCGAGACAACCGTGACGAAGACTCAATAAAAAGTATATTATTTTCGTTTTTTTCTTTAGAACTTTTATCAATGTTGTTCTTGAAAGGTTTATTACACTCACATTTATACACAAGTTGTATTTTTTTTCATCGTAAACATTGTTAGCTTTCGGATACTTATTTCTAGCACAAATGTGAAACGCGTGTTACAAAGCACGCATGAATGAAAAGTGAGAAAATGCAAAATTGGATTCTGCTGTGATGTTGATATAGATTGCATATTTTCGTTTTATCTGTTGTTATTTTATATACAAAAATGCATAAAATGTTAAAGTAGTTTTATTATTATGTATATATTAATAAATAAGTCGCGACTTTCTTCCTGAAAAAAAATGAGNAATGCAAAATTGGATTCTGCTGTGATGTTGATATAGATTGCATATTTTCGTTTTATCTGTTGTTATTTTATATACAAAAATGCATAAAATGTTAAAGTAGTTTTATTATTATGTATATATTAATAAATAAGTCGCGACTTTCTTCCTGAAAAAAAATGAGTTCACACTGCACATCTTACCATGCGGTAGTGAACTCATTTTTTTCAGAAGGGGAGTCGACTTATCAGATGTCTAAACGATTGTGGGACAGAAAAAGTATGTCAATTTACCCAGTGGTGACAATTTAAACGATGTTTTTTAACATTAATGCCTATGTAAGTCGGCCAGGACCAAGAAAACTGACTACTTAACCGACGGTGTCTAGTTATACCCATGACGACTTATGCGAACTCGACTGTATATATATATAAACAAAATTTTTATAATACCTAATTAGAAAAGTCTTCATGAACATAAGTTATTTACCTGGCTTGCTCGGACCTCCAGGATATCTTCCTCCTGGGCCACCAATACCACCAGATGGCCCAGTTGGACGACCTGGATGCGGTCCTCCTGGTCTAGCAAATCCTCCTGACGGACCACTTGGACTACCGGGTCTTCCTCCTGGTCGAGACCCTGGTGGCTTAGGTCTATAACCACCAGACTGATCACCTGGTTGACCTGTGAGAGTATTTCCTATTTCAGCATTCAAATGAAAATATTTTGGAGCATCGTTACAATCCACACTGTACCAATAATCACAAATCATATGTTCTTGATTGAAAACTGTTCCTGCCGCACACAAAAAACTTTCCATTCTTCCCAAATGGCACACATGGTAAGCCTAAAGTTATTATAAAACTTCATTTGAAAAGTTTTCATGAACATAAGTTATTTAATAATTAACAAAGTACAATTTTTACTTAATAATAAATTATACGTTTAATTAATATCTACTATTCCGTAAATTAATTTTAAAAATTAATAAGATTTTAAAATATATTTCAATTTGACAAGAAAAGTAATATAAAGTATTCGATATTTTGTCTAAAAAGTGTTTTTTTTTTCAAAAAACTAAAATTTAAAATTGTGATAATAGATTATCTAAAACGGTGGTTCTTAACCTTTTAGTGATGAGGGACCATTTATCAAAATTTTTGTCTTGCCATGGACCGCGAGCTGTTTGGCAGTAATATAGGTTATTATAAGGTTGTTCTATAAATTAAACATGTAGAAAATTATTCGGAACCAAGATTATTATATTATTTGAGAAAGTGTTACATTAATTATATTATTTTAGTGCGGTTTTTGTGACTGCATAGTGTTTACCAACTGCTGAATTCTTGGTTCAGTGCTACTCAAAGCAAATGCATGTCGGCACTGGCATCCAACTGATTTCGATGTTTATTTTTAATTATCAAAAGCACTGAGAATCCTTGCTCGCATAAATATGTGGTTAAAAATAAAGTTAGGTACTGTAAAGCAATTTCTCGAATTTTAGGGAAAGCAATAGCTTTTTGGCTCCAAAAATCTTTAAGCTGCTTTATACAGACACACTACAACACAGTTTCATCAGAATAAAAAAAAAATCTTTAATTCCTGTCTCGAATGTATCCTTACAGTTACTATCATGTTGCATTTCAAATAACTCTTCTTGTATTTCATCCGGCACCTCAGAAATGTTGACTATGAAAGGATTGAAATCAGTTTCTGAACACCTTTGTCCTTGCAGTCAGGAAAATAGTGATTGAATTCATTTTTCAAGCTTTGCAAATGGAATGTAATGTTCTTTTGTATTTGTCCTTTAATCTCAGCACACTGTCAATCAATAATTGGGTTCAATGTATCAAACGCAGAAAAATTCT